TGCAGAAGAAACAGCGTTGGCGATAGCACGCAGCCTTGTGGAACACCAGCATTAATAGGCTTTCAATCGGAGCTTGCACCGTCGACAACGACCTTGATGCTCCGATCTGCAAGAAAACTGGTGATCCAATCGCACAATTTCTCGGGATGCCCATAGGAAGGGAGCTTCGAAAGAAGCGCTTTGTGCCAAACCCGATAGAAGGCCTTCGCAATCTCCAAACTAACGGCCAATGCCTCCCCCTTGGACTCTACTGCCTCCGCCCATCTGTGAGTTAGGTAGACCAGAAGATCACCAACTGACCGACCACGGCGAAAACCGTATTGGCGGTCACTAATCAGCTGGTAATTCTCATGAGCTGGCAGTTTTGGAGAACAAGGAGGTGATGGCGATAGGCCCGTAGTTGGACGGGTCTGAGCTATCGTCTTTTTTAGGGATCGGGTGGACGAAAGCCGTCTTCCATGATCGGAATGTCACTTCACGCCGGTATTCTGTGAGGTCGTGGTATCACCCCGGTTTGAACCGGCCCATACGTGCAACAGCAAAGCTGCCGCGTGGCTCTACCACTGTAAAACTGTCTCTTTCTGGTAAAGGGTATTATAACAGTTTTATCAGCATTGACTGATAAACTGTTATGCCTACACCAGTTATTTATGGTGTTTAGGAGGACTCTTTGTATTATTGACGATAAAGTACTTTGGCAAAAGCCCCTCGCAATAATCACAAGGTCATCAGCATAACCCAGTGTGTCAATGCGTAGGTCTGCCATATTATACAATAGTTGGTCAACCGCAAGAGTCCAAAGAAGGGGTGACAAAACACCTCCTTGTGGGCAGCCTCTTGTAGTTGCAACCTCAATCAAAGTTTGAAACCGCGCTATTTTTGCCTTTCTGTTTGAGAGCATCGACTTCACACATTTGATGGTTGTGGGGTCAACATTTTTAGATATCAGGCCCCTAATCAGCAGTGATATGCAGCTACTGTCGAAGGCGCCCTCAATATCTAGAAAGGCACAAAGAGCTATTTCTTTATCCTCCTGTGCTTTTTCGACCCTGTCAATAACACTGATCAGGGCTGTTCCGCAGATTTGCCTCCGCGGTAAGCATGCTGGTTGTAATGTATGGGCCTCGTAGCTAGAGCTACATCCCTTGTTGACGCTAGTAACTCCAATGTTTCTGTTTCACTATTAGTGAAGTTACCATCAGGCATTTTAAGAAGCCCGATCTGGTTAGGTTTCGTTTTCGATAGCATTTTGTGTAGTCTTGCACTGCGAGGCAAAGACTCAACTTCCTCGCATAGCTTCCTCCACGATGCTTTCTTGGCTTTCCTAATTTCTTTATTATATTCAGTTAGGGCTGCACTATAAATATCACACTCTTTGGTTTTCTTAGCCCTATTAAATAGTTTCCTAGTCTTTTCCCTAAGTTCTTTTAGCTTAGTATTCCACCAAGGAACTTTTCGTGTTGAGGTCTTGGTTTTGACGCGACAACTGTCCTCGAAGGCTTCACGAATACCTACGGTTACTGTCTCCGTCGCTAACTCCAGATCTTCAATCGTTTTGATGCTTTTACGAAACGTTTCCAAATTCCTCCTTAAGTTATCTCTATAGATATCCCAGGAGGTTACTTTTGGATCCCTAAAAGCAACGGTTTCGTAGGTTGGTGATGCTCCAATCACAAACTTAATGTGTTTGTGATCAGACATCGAGTTTTCACTACTAACATGTCAGTCATTTATCCGCCTGGATATGTTATTAGTAGCGAAGGTTATGTCTAACACTTCTTACCTAGTTCGCGTAACAAAGGTTGGTGTACACCCTAAGTTTAGGTTTACCAGGCGGTTAGAGATGAGAAAATCATAGAGTAGCTCACCTTTTTCGTTGATTTTAGTGCTTTCCCAGGCTGTGTGGTGAGCATTAGCATCACAACCCACCACAAGTTCGACGTTGTGTTTTCGGGCGAACTCCGCCACTCGCTCTTACCCGATGGTAGGATCTGAGTTCTCTCCGAGAAGATAAGCTGAGCAAATGATTACTCTGGCCCCTGTGTATCCCTGGAGATTTATGAAAGGTGTACCCAGGTCATCATTGCAGTACTCTGGAACAGCTAAAAATCAAATATTTTTATTGTAAATTATACAAGCTATAGGTCTACTGCCTTTAGTATTGACAAGAATCTTACCGGCAGCCGACAATCCCAGAACTTGACCGTTGGCCACCCAAGGCTCTTGTATGAGGGCGAGGTCAATATTGTCCTCTGCAAAGCAAACCTCCACCACGGAAGAAGCAGCTGCTGCATGGTGAAGATTTGCCTGGAGGACCCTCGACTTACCGTTAGGGTTAGCCATTATGCCATATGCCAGCTGGGCCTATAGCCATATGGGCGCGGGGGGCAGGGGTCTTTTCCGCCAGTTGAGGACGAAGACTCTTGACCCCCGCCTTACCTTCCGTTGTACTGCTCCTACCTCCCCTCTCCACACTTCTGGACGACATCAGCGGAGGCCGTCGGACCGAGGCGAGATCAGCGCCTTGGGTCTTCGTCACTCTCACTGATGGCGTTCCAGTCTCACCTCGAGAGGTGGAAGGCTGGGGGGGATGGGAGTTGGGGCGGTTCAAGCTCCATTGCCACGTCAGAGCCCCCCCCTGACTTTAAAAGTTATCATTTTAAAGCCAAGGCCGACTCTCCCGCCTGCCTTCCGAAGAGCCCACGCCGATGGGTCGTCCAGAGAAAAGGTTACCAGGAACCCATTCTCCTCGTCCCTACGATGGAGGATTCTCCAGAGCTCGGTGTGGAGTCCTTCGTTTTGTGCCCTCAACAGCACAGACGCCTCCTCCGGAGAGTCGGCTAGCTGCGGGGCAAATACGTAATGCCCAGCTGATGCTTAAGCAATTCGCCTTCGGGTATTACCGAGAGCTCTGCCTCCGGTCAGGGTTTCAGTTTTCCGATCTCACCCACAATCCAGTCCTGGCTTGCCTTATTCAGGCAGAGTCCAACGAGGCTTGTAAGTGAAACCCGAAAATTTTGGTCCCATTCCCGGCTGCACCCCACAGTCTGTCTTAGCGATGGCCCGTGTTAGTGACCGGTGGACCAGCCGCATCTGATCCACACTCATGGGATTCGAATTGCGAATTCCCACACGCGCGGAGCCAGTTACGGCACTGAAGCTGAGCTTCTTCCCCCCATTGCCAGCTTCACAGACTTCCTGGGTAATACAAGACTAGTCTTTGGGGGACTCTTCCTTGCTTTTGTGCCTTCGGAACTGGGAGGGGGGTTTGGGCAGAGGAACTTCGTCCCCAGGGCTTCTGACAGTTCCTATCTCAGCTGCTATCAGCCGTCGGTACCTCTTTCCTTGCTGCCCCACTAAGCTTATAAGGCCTAACAAACATTTTCTTTTCCCCTCCCTGGTTCGTTTCCGATTGTGGTTCGGCTGCAGACGTGCCCTCCACTTCACGGCTCGTCCGAGGTTGGGGCGTAGTATTGCAGAATATTGATGAGACTAAAAGGGCCGCTTCCAAACCTACAGATAGTCCCATTAGAGGAGATTTTTCATTAATCTTTTCAAAATGTCAATTTTCGTCCATTTTGGTCCCACGATTAGCTAGGGAAATATTCGGTCACCCCCAGCAGAGCCCCGCATGCCGAGGGGAAGGCTAAAATACTACCCAAATTGCCCTAGTATCGGGTAGGCACCGTTAGCGACAGGACTCCCTGCAGCCACGCATCCATCGGCACGGTACGCTTGACACCTTTGATTTGGCTAGGATGGGAAATAAGGGGTGGTATAAAAGATAAGAGGATCGTCTAAGTGTTTCAGTTCTGTCTGTTTCCTATTGAACCAGACTAAATAACAGGCGGCAACCACGTGAAGGAAGAACTCCTCAGACTTGCCCTGGGGATCAACACGAGCTCTACCCCAGAGCCATTCGCCAAACTGCTCGCCGGATAGGAGAGCAGAATAGGTGTTAATCTAGTCCTACTGATAATATCAAAAAATTAGGAGTAGACTAACCCCCACCCAACCTAAAATGATGAGTTAGTGATAAAGAAACCTACCTAACAGTATGTTATATGCCCTAAGAAAATTGATCTCCAAGCGAAATGAAGCTCAGATAGTAACTTCCTAAAATGATGACGTTCAATGTAGAGTTGTAGAAGTAAAAATATTATTTATGACAAATATGCAGACGAAGTCGCGGGCGTAACCTAAAAGGTGACATGAACTGTGATTTTTCGAAATGACGTCGTCTTAAAAAAAATTATAAACTACAAAGATAGTTCAATCTCAGTATATTAAATGTATATTATCGACTAATAAAACAGAAACAGAAACTTTTTTATTCAATATGGATTATGCATAATACTTTTTGAAAGTCATTTTTTTATTCACCACTGGTTCGAAAACCTCTGACCTGGAAAGAACCAGCAAGAAACCCAGCAGGACTTTTAAAAAAAACTAACAGTTTACAATCATGTTTGTTACAATTAACAACACAAAACAAATTAGATATAGCTTGGTAGCGGTTATCCTTCCCGGGGGTTATTATCATCCATAAATTCCTTAATATTTAAATAATTTTTTATACAAACTTAGTTTAATAAAGTTTTTGAACTTTTTGCAGGTCAAATGTATATTTTCTGAGATTTTGTTGTATAAGAATGAATACTGTCTCGATGGAGTCGAGTAACTGTTACTACTGGCTTGTGTCTATTCTTAGTATTTACAGAATGAATATCACTTATTTTTGTAAAACTACTTTTATTTTTGTTTACGTAAATTACATTTTCATAAATGTATTGAGAGGCCCAAAGTTAATATATTAATTTGTTTAAAATATTTGTCTGAGCGACTCTAGGTTTTAAATCATAGATTGCTGTAATGGGCCTCTTCTGTATGTAGTAACAATATTATCTCACGTTTGATAATAATGAAATGTGAAAAACGCTATTATTAGACTTATTTTGTCCAAAACATGCTCGTAAACAGTTTTTAATCCAAATTTTTAGAAAGTCCAGAAGTGAAACTGGATGACACTGAACTTGTGTTAAAACCAGGTGACTGGGTGAACACCAAATGCACGTAAGTAATCTTGAAATATTTTTTATGATGAAGAAGATGTAAAAAAATATTACCTATATAATATAATTGACATAATGTGTATATAAAATATATGAATATATAGAGTCACAAGAAAAGGCTTTTAGTATAGAATAGAATCAATTTTTATTCAATATATTAACTACTACCACTGGTTTGGAGAAAACCTGTGAAGAACCAGCAAGACATCCAGCGGGACATTTATTTTAATTAGAATTAATACACGTCTACGTGCTGTTTTCAAGAGTCATTACGAATCGTCTCGCACGCAGACTCGACGACTTCCAGCCTCCCGAACATGCCGGTTTCCGAAAAGGCTTCAGTACCATAGACCACATACATACCCTGCAGCAAATTGTACAGCAGACCGAAGAATACAATCTGCCACTTTGCCTGGCGTACATTGGCTATGAGAAAGCCTTTGATCCCGTCAAATTAGGGCGGTGCTACAGTCCCTTCAGCGGTGCCAAGGTGACTGTCGGTATATCGAAGTGCTGAAGTGTTTGTACAGTAGGGCTACGATGGCTATCTGAGTACAGAACCCGAGTTCGAAACCTATCCAACTACAGAGAGGTGTAAGACAGGGTGACGTTATATCCCCGAAACTCTTCACCGCTGCATTGGAAGACGTTTTTAAACTACTGGACTGGAAAGGATACGGTATTAACATCAATGGAGAGTACATCACTCACCTTCGATTTGCCGACGATATAGTCCTCCTATGGCAGAATCGCTGGAGGATCTAAGCACTATTCTCAATGGCCTTAACGGTGTCTCCCAATGGATGGGTCTTAAGATGAACGTGGACAAAACAAAGACCATGTTTAATGTCCATGTCACACCTATGTCGGTAGTTGTTGGGAGCACTATGCTCGAAGCTGTTGACGAGTACGCTCACCTGGGACAAATAGTCCGACCAGGTAAGTCCAACTTCGACCGAGAGGTCAATCGACGGATTCAACTCAGCTGGGCAGCGTTCGGGAAATTACGACACATCTTCTCGTCAGGTATACCTCAAACTCTGAAAACTAGATTGTACAGCCAGTGCGTTTTGCCAGTGATGACTAACGGATCTGAGACGTGGTCCTTCACTGCTGGCCGTATGAAGACGCTCAAGGTCGCTCAGCGAGCTATGGAGAGGGCTATGCTCGGAGTTTCTCTGCGTGATAGACTCAGAAATGAGGATATCCGCAGTAAAACCAGAGTGACCGACATAGCCCAACGGATTAGTAAGCTGAAGTGGCAATGGGCCGGCCACGTAGTTTGAAGAACCGATAACCGATGGGGAAGAAAGGTTCTCGAGTGGCAGCCTCGTACCGGTAGGTGTAGTGTAGGGCGACCCCCCACTAGATGGTGTGACGAACTGGTAAGACATGCAGGAAGTCTATGGATGCAGGTGGCTCAGCACCGTGCTTTGTGGCATTACTTGAGGGAGGCCTATGTGCGGCAGGTGATTTGTGAAGGGCTGTAATGAATGATAATGATGATATTACTTTATACAATTATGAAATACACAGATCACAGCTAATCTACTATAAATTGTACTGAGACTAATTTTGTAGCTGAGAATAATAGTTAATTCGTTTCCACGAATTAATTATCCGATGAGTTGAGGATGAGCTACTAGCGGAATATAACAAGTGAACCAGAGCCAAGACTCCCTTAACGGCGGCCGCTCCGTCTGTTCTATACAAGTAAAGTACCGTTGGTCCTGCACCTGATCTCTCTCCGGCCGTGTCGGTTTACCGTCCCAACGGATTATGAAAGTGAGGGAATAGAGAGTGCACGAAAGTTGTTCAAAACGACTGTAAGTCAACAGCACGCTACAGACTATAAACTATAAATTTCTAGCGCGCTATTAAATACGCTATGTTATACCGCGCTATTTATAAGAAAGCGCGTAGGAGGCCGGCAAGCGCGTTAAGTTTTGTAGCACGCTATATCTCGTAGCACGTTACATTACATGTCGTTCATTGGATAAACCGCGTGCTATATAAGAACATTATTCGTAATAAGTCGCATTTTAGACTAAAATAAAATAAAGCGGTAAAGAAAAACCAATGAACGCTTTTATACTTTTATACTTTTCAGGCTTACAATTTTCTATAATCCTAAAAATATTTTTAAGGCATGTACTTTTTAAAACGAAATAAAATATTTTTTTTATTATAATTGATGTAAACGTTATTTTCACCTTAATATAAATTATAAATCAAATAAAGGTGTATTTAAAAACTTATTCATTGTATTTATAAAAATCAACTATTTACATACACTATTATATCTAGATTTTATTTACATTTATAAACATTAGTTAGGCTTCTTTTATAGCAGACAATTGTGTCCTTCGATCACTTATAAATATACAGTAAACACTAACTAAACAACGTCCTCTCCCAAGAGCGCTGCTGCTAGAACTAGTTGCCGCTAGATATTAATACTTAATAGCGCCATAGCGCCATAGCGCAGCAGTGTGAACAGAGACTTCTTTATGAAGACAGGCGAAACCGTTTGTTTTACCTTTCAATGCAGAGAAATTAGTATCTATTCACCATAATTTGCCCTTAGCTACGTATTATTTATTTTGTGCCTTAGCGCAGTACGAGTACTAATTTTGTAAGTTTTAAAATGAAAATTTTGTGATTAATGTTTATATTTGTTAAGTGACATAAATGAAGTACTGAACTAAGATATTTTTTTTAAATCCGGTATCCGGGCGGATAGAAGTTTTAGGCCGGATAGGCCGAATACCTGATAGATACCGGATATCCGTTTCATTTCTGATTTTTATATACCTAATATATCGGTTTTCCTGCTTCAAAGCCGTACACGGAATGTGTGGGAAGAATACTTACTACAATTATTTTTACTAAAAATAATGAGTAAAACTTGTAAAAATTACCTTTATGTTTACTAATCACTATCACCATTTGGTTTTGGTCTTTAGAGTTATTAAGGGTAAACCAGCGCCTGCTGTCACCTGGAAATTTAAAACTGCTGATGATTTCGAGGAAATACCGGAAGGTGTAATCGCTGAAGAAACTTCTCTCAAAATTCCGTCAATAAAAACCGAGCACATGGGTACTTACAAATGTGAAGCAGTGAATATAGTCGGGTCTGACTCAGGAGAGGTATCAATTAAAGTTGAATGTGAGTTTAGACAAAATTATTATTATTTTCAAAAATTTTAAATATTGTAAAATATTAAAATAGAATACTTATTTCCTTCTACAATTTACTTTTCGTAAACAATAATTTCAATAATAATGTCTCTAGTTTTTAAAAGTTAATACGCTTTATAACATGTAAAATCAAGTAGATATACAAATATATTTTAACGGACATAAAATTTAAACTATTTTTAGTATGCAATTTATGCGTAGCGATTATAGCAAGTCCTACGAGCAACGGATTCGAGGTGGCAAATATTTATTGTGCTTACGCTTTTTAAAAGCCGCCAATGAACCTATAATTACTTGGTTTTGCAGAAATTTATTAGCAGTATCGGTTACTTACCATCATTAGATGTGCTGTATGCTTGTTTGCCGGTCTTTCAAAAAAAATATTAAAGGGTCCCGTATCCGGCGACCTTTGAGGGTTGATGAAGAAGAATACATTAAAATTCGGTATAATTTAAATATGTCAATTTATATCTTCTATACAGATGCGCCAAAAATCAAGGTTAATGAAGAGATTAAAGTTGTAAAAGAAGACGATCAAGTTGAGTTATCGTGTGAAGTTGATGCCGTACCGAAAGCTCGCGTTAGATGGGAGATAATGAAGGATGATGTCATCGTACCTTTGGACAGCAGACATTACACTGATGAATGGAATACCCATAGGTAATAAAATACTAATATATTTTTTTTTATATTAAAATGTGCATTGAAATTAAAAACATCTTTGGAGAAGGATTCTTTTAATTATAATATTTTAATACATAAAATGTCGCAGTTAGGGGACCTTCCAATATGAGAAAGTAATAAGGCGAGCTTATAAGTAGCAGTACTGTTTGGAAATATTAATTTACAATATAAATAATTAGATTTTGATTATGTTCGAAGGTTGAGCATGAGCTACCACGGCTTATAACATTATATAATTAGAAATTCACAATCTTTGCACATATGTGGTTTACTGGCACGTGACAAATTAAAGGAATTCAGAAAAAAATAAATTTCAACAGGTTTACTGCTCAGTCAAATGACTCTGGACACTATAACTGTATTGCCGAGAACGACGTTGGAAAAGCGGAACGAACAATAACAGTTAATGTTTTGGGTAAGTTGAGAAAAGACTTTTTACGAATGTTATCGTACTTTATTTTCATTTATTATCTATGCAATAATTGTTTACAATGCCTTGAAATCTTGAAGTGGTTTTATTGGGTTTGGATTTAGTTTTATTAGTTATAGAAGTCCAAACTTGTAGTTCGGTTTGTTTATTATCTAGCTATGTTCTTTATAGAAGTTAAGATATTTCTTCAAAATTCAGTGGTCTCTTAAATCATCGTACTTTTGCCAGAATTTGTGAGCACGATGTGGGCATGCGGGTAACTAAACATCATAGTATAGTTTAAGGAGTTTATATTGTTTTTTTTTTTTATTATTTAAAAAAATATAAATTTAAAATTTGACATTAAATGAGTGTTTGATTGTTAAACTGCTAAACGAGTTCTATACCTCTCATAAGAGATATTTATAGGGTTTACAAGTGATTGAATCATATCATGGTGATTGCCCGTGTACAATTTTAATGATAATGATGTTTACTACTATTACTAACTAAATTAAAGAACTGAAATTATTCTCCTTATTGTAAGAATAATTGAACTAGCAATTGCCGAACTAAAGGGCTATCACCTAAATCGCAATTTTTTACATCAGATTAGGTATTCATGGTTGTTATGCTGTCATTTGAAGGACGTGTAATATATCTGACTTAACGTTAGAAAGCCACGTAATCTAAGACAGACAGTAGATTCTCAAACGTTTACACTACGAGGAAATTACTATAATATAACAAAATATGTTTCAGTGGAACCGTACATCGAAGCTCCTCGGTTGAATTTCATATCGGTCAGGTCTGGTGACACGGTCACATTGCCCTGTATTGTTTCACACGGTAATCCAGAACCGTCAACAAAATGGGAGTTTATAGCTCTCAACTCAACAGTGACGACTATATCAAGGTATTTGTTTTTCTAAAGGATTAATAAATATAAAAGTGAATTACAATGAAAGTTTAATTAACATAAGTTTAAAAAAGGATATACTCTCGGTAGAGTAGTACTTCTTGAGATATGGCATTGTATCGAAGAATTGATATGTACCAGTAAAGTATCGGTATTTAACGACCCAGACACTAGGGGTATATTCCGAAATACAACGCAGTGTACTGTCCAATGCGAATGACGTCATGAATCGACTCTATACTATTGATTCGTTCCAAAACATTGGACAGTGTATGACGTCATACTTTTGCGCCATTTGGAAAAGTGTTGGCGATTATTTTGTCATTTTGTGCTCCAAAAATCATTATATCCTCCTAATGGATATACCATCAATTATTCTATAATTTTTTGTATTTGAATAAATAGAAACAAATTCTGGCATGCTTCATTCGGCAAACACACAATTAGAAATTGTTTTATTATGGCCGGATATCCGACACAATATGGCGGCGGCACGCTAGTACAATAAAGTGTCAAATGATACGTCATTTGCATTGGACAGTACACTGCGTTGTATTTCGGAACATACCCTAGAATGAGAACATAAACCGAAACCTAAATTATAGTCAACCAAATCTAAGAAATACATTTTGACAGCTGTCAGACTTGTTGCACCAAGCATGCCAACCAAAAAGTGGCAACGTACAATATTCGATTCTTAAAATTTATTTATTTATTTATTTATTAGGATTACCAACAGAAATTAGAATAGTAATACAAAGATCATTTTCATAACATATTAAGCACATTATAATTGTATTTCTTTTTATAGGTAATCACAACATGCATTGATTATTTAGTGAATGATAGGATTAAAAAAAACTTGGACTACATCATTGAATAAATAAGTTATTAAAAAGAAATAGAATTATTTAACAATATTATAGATAACTTCATTATCATATTAAATTACATTAACCACATTATAGAAAACAAAAACAATTCCAATATTATACTTCCAATATTATACTTCTTAATTAATTGATTCATTATTTTTAAAGAAATTTATTAATTTTGATTTGAAGGTGGATAAACTGTCGCAAGTAATATCGAGGCCAGAAATCTTTGAGGACAGTTCGTTATAAGTGCGAGCCAGTCTGGCTAGAGGGGAATACTTTCCCAGGTTAGATCTATAAAGAGACACATCGAAAAAGGCTTGCGGTTTCCTAGGCAGTCTTGATGGCACTTTAAAGTTATAATTGAACTATCGCTGGACAATCGACACTATTATTGAGCGTTTTGTATAGGAATATCATATCTGAGATAATTCTACGTGATTGTAATGATGTGATGTTAAATTGCGCCAAACGTCTTTCGTAGGAATCATTAGTTTGATAGCAACAAGATAGAAAAAAATCAATATCGATTATTTAGAGTTAGCAATCATTTATAGTTTAGTTTGAATAATACCTGAATAAATTAAAAATGGATAATTCAAAACACAAGATTTATCAGTTTCTTCGTATTTGTGGTTACTGCTTATTTCTAGAGGGACAGTTATAAAAATTTAAGATTGAAACTGCGTTAAAAATAAATTTATTCAATCACTTTCAGTACAACTAGTTGAGCTGTCAATGTTAAGATTAATTATTGTTTGATTTTCAATAATGCAGTCAAAATTAATGTCTCTTTCAAAGTCATTTATAATCAATTTTTTGTTATTTCTACCACTTTTCCCAATTATCCTTTGTGACATGGGCACATGCTTCAACGAATATTGAAGAAACAATCCAAAAAGTTAAAGCCGAGTCACAAAATAGGAAGACAAACACAAAATCACAAAATTACGCACAGTAAGCTCCCAAAATGGTGGGAGATTGAAATTTGAAATTACTTAGTGGTTTTTTTTTTTGCTTTTTGCGTATTCTTTTTGCGGCTTTAGATATGAGTTTTTTTGCCTACACAAATTTACGTAGATAAATTAAAAAAATAAACTTATTCATGATTCATGTAATTTAAGGAATTTTAAAAAGATAAATTTAACTAAACAAATAATACATTAAAAAAATTAATGATTCGACTATTTGAATTTTAGCTATCCAAACACTACTGTGAGGTACATAGCGACGTATCATTGAAACGACGTCAAGTAATAAAGTTGATACTGGTTATTTTTTTATATTTTGCTTTGTTTGAAAGATACGAATTTAAATTAGTGATAAAAATTATACACGTTGTAATGAAATATAGATAACTACATAATTTCTCGAATTTACGTAAAGGGTTATTTTAAATCGTGTGAGTACGCTTCTGCAAAGTTATTGCAGAATGTTTGATGTGAAACGTCAAAAGGTATTTCTTAGATTTTGTTGACTGTAGTACTGCTAAATACGTTTATTATATGTTTCTTCGTCTTATCATAATATAAAAATAAAGTTAAATAATATACAACACCAAGAAGGTTGTCCTCTACGACTTTGAACCTAAAAAATGGTATTTTTAAACCGGTAGGTATTTAAAGGCCTACCTACAGTTTTACTGGAAGGTACAAAAAAGTGGAACCTTTATTTCATTCTAAATGCTGCAGTTATATTAGTAGTATAGTTGTAGCACGAATGGGTCGGCTCGACCGGGGAAGGACCACGCTCTCACAGAATACCAGGGTAAAATAGTAGCTTGCTGCTGTGTTTCGTATGGTGAGTGTAGAGAACCGGAGACCCTTTTTTACTGGAAATGAGGCATTCCATCGTAGCCCTCACGGATGATAACGCATCTGCATTTTGATTCGTTATCGAGGGTAGATGTAGATGTCTATGAGCCATAGCAATCAGAATTTAAACAAGTTAAAAGTATATAGTTAACACCCGCGTGTATTAACAGTATAACTCCTTTTTTTAAATAACTCCTTTAAAAAAATTCTGTCGTGTTTGTCTGTCCGGCCTAATCTTCAAAATGGCTGAATCGATTGTGATGTATCTTCGCGAACAGATATAAGGCAATGCCAGGAGTGATCTAGGCTATATTTTATTTAAATAAAGAACTTGGAGACTTTTTTTGAAAATTTGTAAAAACGTAAATGACGCCATATTAATAGATCTAAGGCGGGTGAAGCCGGGATGAGTCGCTAGTAATAAATACGAAAAGAAAAAAGTATTAGGGCCATTGATATATACGCAGTATACGATTACGCAGTATAAGTCTATGATTAGGACTTTTTTGTTTGAAACGGTTACAGTTACAGAGATAGTCATAAAAACCATTTATTTTGTCAAAAAAGTGCACGTTTTAACGTATAAAATATTTTTCGTTCGTGAGAAACGGTGAAGCTATTTTTAATATTCTATTTTGTTCAAAATAGAATATTAAAAATAGCTTCACACGTTGTCGCAAAAACCACGTGCACCTCAGCAAGTGTGTGTGTGTGTGTGTGTGTGTGTGTGTGTGTGTGTGTGTCAGTGTGTGTGTGTGTGTGTGTGTGTGTGTGTGTGTGTGTGTGTGTGTGTGTGTGTGTGTGTGTCAGTGTGTGTGTGTGTGTGTGTGTGTGTGTGTGTGTGTGTGTGTGTGTGTGTGTGTGTGTGTGTGTGTGTGTGTGTGTGGAAATGAATAACCATTTTTAAAATTTTTGTCAGTCTGTTCGGGCTATTCTACGGAATGACTGAACCTTATGAACAGTTAGAAGGCAATGCCAGGAGTTGTCAAGGTTATATTTTATTCAAAAAACTTTCAATTTTTTTTTAAATCGAAAAGCTGGTAAATAAGTGGTTTATTGATTATCATCTACTCTCCAAAAGACTATTATTATATATATATATATATATATATATATATATATATATATATATATATATATATATATACATACTGTGCGAGCATAAACTGCGTGTGTATAAATGTATATTATATACCTCATGGCATGTCAAATAATATTACTATTTCCTTGTTACAGAGGCAAACCCCCGAACATTTTAACATTAAGGAATATTTCAAAAAGGCACGAGGGATCTTATATTTGTTTAGCGGAAAATGAAGCAGGTTCCGACACAATTAAAGTCATTGTAAAAGTATTCTAAAATAACAAACGTAATAAATATTATATAGTATAGTTTTATATTTTATAATAATAACAATAATATATAATAATAAGCCTTTTATTTCCATAACCAAACAATAGTAAAATAAAAATATAGTAAGTACGTGAGGGTAATATGGTCATTCGGTTAATATGGTCACTTTCTAATAACTCAAAAACTACAGCCTTGTCTTGTTTGCATAGATGGCTTTGTGATATGATCAGTCAATCAAATAATAAAAGGTGAAAAGGGCTCTACTTTATCGACACCATTTTGACCGTTGATATTATAGTAAATATTTTAATAGATTTTAATATGGTGTAGTTTAGTTAGTTTCATTTAAGTTGATTTTTCTAAGTGTTTCTAATTATTGTCAGAGCTTGTTTGCTATTTTTTTTCTAAATATATTAGTTATAGTACATATACGACTTTGTGATTTTGTGTCTGTCCTCATCGTAGTTTTGGTTTTATAGGGCGGCAAAGCTTAAGGTGACCATATTACCATCACGTACCTTATTTATATTAATATAAAAACTATAGTAGTTAATTTCCTATATGTAAGCTGGTTGCAGCAACGCACACCCTTGCATTTCGTATTTATTGATGTATATGTTAGTTGGGTTGGCTGTCATAATCCCCTCTCTTCCGTTCCTTCCCCGCACGGGACTGTCTAGTAGGGGGAGCTAGATACTGGTAGACGCACCTTTGGTCCTCTAATTAGAGGCAGACTCCGCCAAGTAGAAAGGGGAGATGGCGGAAGTTATAAGAAAACGCGCGCCGCCATCATCGTCACAATATTTCGTGCCCGCATAGCCGTCAAGAATGCGGCCGCTAGTAGTTAAGTTGTATCAGTTCTGGCTCACTGAGTCGGAAGTGGTACAACGTTCGTCGACTCACAATCCTAAAATAAAAGGGTTTTGGCATGCTCTGATCACGAATTTGCGGTCCGTTTTTGCGTAGGTTGCACGCTTCCGGACATGTGCAGATCAATTAACTAATATCTAATTGATATCCGGTGAGGGACTCCACCGTCCCATTGTTCTTATCTATTGTTCATTGAACACCGTCATTGTCTATTCTTCCTCGGCGTATGCGTCGGCTTATCAGTGCTATTGTATTATACTTCTTTGTTCCTAACTACAACGCTAATCTGAATCATCAATAAAACACATTACTTAATTTTGTTACAATTTTTATTTACAAAATAAAAAATCTTATTACTTCTTATTTTATATTATATTACTATTCTTATTTTATATATATTACTTCTATAAAATAGGAGCGAAATATCTCATCCAATAAAATATCGTTGTACAATGTGTTCCCTGTAAATATACTCTTAAAACTATGCATTGAACAGTCCTGAAACTTATATAGCAAATACATTAAACAATATTCGCTACAAACTGAAGTCCACTCATTCTACTACTATCATCATTCCAGTTACATCTTTTACGATATCCTTTAGAGTTTTTAAAAAGAACTCTAGATGATATCGTACAGGTGATCGTCCATATGAATCAAAATATTGACCGACGTCATTCGTATCGATATATAAAGCTACCCAATGTGACCCTGGTTTATCATATGTATCCAAATTGCATATTATATACGTTGGTACGTAGGTATACATGGGCAGTCTATTAGCAGCATAATCTCTCTCATCGCAAACCTACTCAATGACTAACATAGGAATGATCAATTATAGTGATTTCTAAATATTAAATCGCATTCTTTTTGTGTTATACAAATCGTATTTGAGTCATCGATACATCGAACACGACGCTACACGAAGGAATGTTGAGATATGCAACAGAATATGAGATAAGCTTGTTGACGCCATAAAGTTACTATCAGTTTCACTGCAGAAATTCTTTAGATTAGAATTATTACTTACTGGTGATATATAAGACCGAGCAGCTGCAGTCATGGAGTTAGTGTATGGTCGTTTGACCGCAGTGGATCTATCAATACTACATTTGCGTTACTTCAACGCATCAAAGGCCATTGATGTAAGTGTTTATTCTATTGACAAACTTACTTTTCTTTCTGTTATTTTCTAACGTGTGTATGATTTAGTGTTAACAAATTATATTTAAATATTGTGTGTGTGTGTATATGATTAAGCCGTGGTAGCTCAGATGGTTAGCGCAAGCTGTAAATTTCACAGTACGCGACCCGGGTTCAATCCCCGCCGGCACCAATTAAATTGTTAATTGCAATTTTAAGTGCTGATTTACCACGTGCTCGGCGGTGAAGGAAAACATCGTGAGGAAACCTGCATGTCCGAGAAAATTTCGAAGGCATGTGAAGTTCGCCAACACGCATTGAAGCAGCGCGGTGAACATTTCCTAGCCCTAAAACCCTCTCAGAAATGAAAGGAGGCCTATGTTCAGCAGTGGACTTTAATAGGCTGTAACTTTAACTTTTTTAACTTTTATGATTAAGTGTTAACAAATTGATATTAACATGATAACTGTGTTGTTGCAGAAATCATTGAGCTTCGATGAAAATACCTATAAACAGTATTACTACTTGCCACTCTCCCCTCAAGAAGAGAGTGATGACATCGTCATTAATAATACACGCAATGGTGGAAAAAGAAAATCGCAATCGATTGATCATTTTTTTGAAGCTGAATCAAAAATAAAAAAGAGGAAGCTGTTATCATCAACCGTAGCATGAGCCGCTAGAGATGGTGTATCATACATTTCTGCTAATTCTGACGACGGAGACCAAGCGACACATCTCATCAAATTTGAAATGTACGATATGAAGAAGCTATCCAAGATTCCAACTACTGATCATTGGAAACATGCTTCCACGAAGATTAAATATTACGTAAAGATACTAATAAGGATAGCATCTACGACAACACAAACGCCCTCGTATACAATATTACAAAGACAATAGCAGAAAGTGAAAAAGTTAAAAAATACTTTTTTAACAACGACAGTCATTAGCTGATCATTAGTGAATGTGATTATGTTTACTTAAATTACTTCTGTGTACTCATTATACTCTATTTCTAATCCTTTGCTAGACTATAAATATCGGACATTATTTGGAATTTGGGTATCTGTTGGTCTACCAACACTGAACTGTTACTTACTCTGCTACCTACTTTCTTCTTTGCTATAAGGATGGAAAACTTCAGTGAAGTGTGCACCAGTGCTTTCTTCTCCACAACCATGGAAGAGAATACGGAACTACTCAATAGCGAATTAAATCAGGAGTTATCTAAAGTTTGTGATAAAATAGAGAAGGGTCAACTGTTCGATTCATCGTATGATGATGAGTTGTATAATCACTGTGCGATGGTTGAAACACAGTTTAAGTAAGTAAAATAAACATTCATTTCGATTATAATTTACACATTGTCTTATATAGTTTTTAATAATTGATTAAAACTACTTTTACGGATTTTATCGCGTTTATTTTAAATTTATTATATTTTATAGTTTATTTTAAAATAAAAGCGATAAAATCCGTAAAAATAGTTTTAATCAATGTGTAGTGTTCGCGTAAATATAAGAAATAATATTTAATAAATTTAAACATCGTTACATATCATTTTACACTATTTTAAATTTATTTTTCCATTCTGTTTTTGATTTTCTGTATTCACCTCAGAACTGGATATTTTGCATCACCTTTATTTCCATAGGATCCTGTAACGTTTTTAAGCCATAAGAACACAATAACAAATCATTTTCACTTCGTATTTTCACGCTATCAGCACATTTTAAATCGGTGTCGATGGAGCCTACCTTTTTTCGATCTTTTATTTAGTTCTGCGTAACTCTGAAATTTCGGGCTTCGTGCGCGCTGTTGCGCTACCTTTTTTCCTATATCAATAATATCTCATTTTTCACTTAAATCTTTCCGTTTCTCTATTACGAGCCTAAAACCAAAATTTGACATGTTTTGACATCGTTGTTTATCTGGTTGTCATGGCAATTTTTATTCAAATTCGTTACAGGTCTGATGTTTTTACTTCAAAACTTCCACAAAAAATACTCTTTTCTTCTTGGCCATTTACAAAAATTTGTTTTTAATTTAAATAATTTCCCGTTCTTATCTCAGATCCGTCGTCGAGCGCGGAGCTCTCTAAAAAAAGTATAAAAGCCGAACAATCGGCCAATAAAGTCAGTCTCGCTTCAGCTTTCATACTAGAAGCATCTCCTAAAGGCCTTATCTCGGGGCCGCACTGTCCCGGGATCCTGCAAGCCTCTGCCTTCATCTGAAGTCGTCGTCTAGCCACACCTACGCCTCCACCTACTAGTGCCCGCGCTATCTTTAGCCGCTGTGCGTGCTTGCTTCAAGCGCTGCGTGTGCCTACTCCGGGCGCTGCGTGTGCCTACTCCGGGCGCTGTGTGTGCCTACTTCAAGCGCTGCGTGTACCTGCTCCAGACGCTGCGTGTACCTACTCCAGACGCTGCGTATGCCTACTCCGGGCGCTGTGTGTGCCTAGTCCGGGCGCTGTGTATGCCTACTTCAAGCGCTGCGTGTACCTACTCCAGACGCTGCGTGTGCCTACTCCGGGCGCTGTGTTTGCCTAGTCCGGGCGCTGTGTGTAGCTACTTCAAGCGCTGCGTGTGCCTACTCCAGACGCTGCGTGTGCCTAGATCAGGCGCTGCGCACCTACCAGGCATAGCCTGTGCATACTCCGTGATGCTTCTAGTTTGAAACCACATTCCATCATTTTCACCTTATTATTTTTATTTCTTTTAATTTGTTTGTTTGTTTGGTGATCCAGTATTCTTCAACACATCTTGCTTTAGGACCTCGAATTTTCGTTGGTTAATCTTCACTTTTTATTTTTATTTCAGACACATCTCGTTAGTGATGTTGCTGATCTCTGGCTTTGAGCCCTACCGCTCTGGCCGTTCTTGATCTTTACTTAAGTCATAGCGACTAAAGCTTGCTTAAGATTAAGTTCTTTATCTTCACTTGGGAGCGGCTGACTACTCCCTTAATAATTTTTTTTTCCACGCGGG